TTGGAGATATGGGATGGGGAAGAGCCCTCCTGGCGCCTATCTGCCTGTTTCCAGAGTCTTCCATAGCCAAACCCAGATGGCAGCAGCCACAGGACAGCCTGCAGCCTCCCCATCAGGCCAGGCCTTCAGGTCTCACAAGGGAAAGGAGCATTAAAGAAGCCTTGCATGGTTGACCAGGGTTCACACACCCCGTTCTGACATGTTCTGGGGACTCTTGGGCGTGGGGACTTACCTGTCCCCAGAAATGTCAGTTCTCCTGTATGGCAGAGCCCCTGGGAACCACTTACTTCAGCCCCTGAAGATGTTTCAAGGCTCGCCTCTCTCTGAGGGTCTCAGTGGACTGCATGATCTGCAGTTAATGCCGCTTAATTGATGTTCGAGGAGCTTAGTCATCAGAACCCTCAGGAGGGGCTTCCTCGAGCAGCTCCGCTGGGCTTGTTGCTAGGGACAAAGCCCTTTCAGAGGGCAAATGCGCTCGTTTCCAGGCTCCTCCTGGTTTGTGCTTGTTATTCTTTTCTCCCGTAGGAGGTGTCCCAGTCCTGAGGTCAGGGAGCCCCCCCCCCCTGTCTGTTGCTCATCTAGCTCTGAGTACCCCAGGAGATTCTGTAAGTCTCCTGCATCCCTTCCAAGTGCTGGCTCCCTGGCTTCACACAGCCTTGGTTCATTCCGATCCCTGTGCTTGCCCGGGGCTGGCTTGGGGTCCAGGGTGCTCACAATACACAAGAATCCTCCTCCCTGGCCCTCCGAGCTCAAAGCTTGGACCAGGCAGTGGTTCAGAATGGACTAGAGGGTTGGACAAGTGATTCTGAGAAAGGGTTGCTCCAGGGTCCAAGCTCTGGACGGTGAGGGGCCTGCCCTCCTCTCCTGCTCCTCCAGGATGGGGTACACACAGCCGTTAAAATACAGGCAGGCTCTGGCTCACGATTCATCTCCTCAAGGCCATGCTGCCTGGATAACTCTACAGTTCTATGTGAAATTCAGCGCCCCAGCTCGACTCCGGTACCCTCGCCATCATCAATTCTGTTGTACTCCTGCCTTCATTAGCAGGAGTATACGTTGAACCTGATGGAGACCCCGGTGTCCTCTTAGCTTTTTAAAATCTGAGTTTCAACTCTCTCTCTCTCTCTCTCTCTCTCTCTCTCTCTCTCTCTCTCTCTCTCTCTCTCTCTCTCTCTCTCTCACACACACACACACACACACACACACCCTCTATTATTAGTCCAGCTAATGAAAGTCGTAAAGCTTCCTTAGCAGGCCCCCGGCTGTTGATTTCACAGTTGTGATGTGCATATGTTAATTACATCTGAGTCCTAGAAATCCTTCAAGCCCCTCCACGTTCCAGGGACCTTCGGAGCCCCCTCCCATTCTGTTTCCAGGGGAACCCCATCTTCTCTGGCAGTGAGCAGTCTCTAGGGAATCCCCCTTGTCGAAGCTTCAAGTGCCATTTTCAAAGCAGCGGCTGTCATCCTCCCTGACTGGGGTGGGGTAGGAGTAGGGGTGGGGTAGGGGGTGTTCTGTGGGGGCTGGGCTGGGACTGTGCTGGGGAAGGGGGGGATCTGTCAGCCCTGCTGGAAGGATGCTTCAGGCTAGAGGTGTTGAAGAGAGAGAGCAGTAGGGCACTTCTGGGAAGGGAGTCTGGTTTTTCCAGAGAATTCTCTGAAACCTAAGTGTTTACCTGCAAGCCTCCTGCAAGGAAGCCATTAGGAGAAATGTTCCTTTTGTCTGAAGACAGGAGATTTGCTTAGAAGGGGCGGGCTCATGTGGGAAATACTTTGCATTGGGTGTCATCTCTGTGAGGTGGTTATGGAATTTAGAGGAGAGATGGGAGCCCGGTTTTATTGAACCTGGAGTGCCCTCCCTCCGCCCCCCATTGTTTGCACACAGCAGGGCTGTCCACAGTGCTTGGAAAAGAAACCTTGTCTGATTTTCATCAGTTCAGAGGACTCCCGGCAGTCAGATGAAGTAGAAAAAATGTAATGGGCTTTGCAGTTTCTTGCTGTGTGGCCGTGGGCAGGTTACTTAACCTTGCTGATTTGTTTCTGCGCTTGTAAAACGGTAATAACCCTCAGAATTTTTGCAAGAATTAAATGAGGTAGCTTAATGATCCACTTGATCTACAGAACATTCAGTAGAAGCTCAGTAAATGTTAGTTTTCTCCTTCCCTCCTGCTGTCCTCGTTCATTAGTGGCTGTCAACCCCATCGGCTTGTTAGCAGTGTCTAGAGACCCTCCCAGACGCACAGTTGTTTGGGCCCCACGCACTTCGATTCGACTTTAATTGTCCTGCGGAGGGGCTGAGCGTGGGTATTTTTATTTTTAAGCACCTGTTAAAGCATGATTTTTAAAGAATCTGACTCTCACACCAACTGAAATGAGCACAGGACAAATATCTGTTTAGTTTGTCACACCCCGTGAGACAGTGAAAACAACACGCCTAGGCACACAGTGACTCTGAAATAAGCGTATGGGTAGTTTAGGTGTGTCCACCCAGGCTGGGGAGGAGCCCACCTGTGCAGCATTCCCTATGCTCACTTGCCTAGGTCAGCAGGGTGTCCGGCACTGCGGCTCTGGGTCCCGCACTGGGGCTCTGGGTCCCGCACTGCGGCTCTGGGTCCCGCACTGGGGCTCTGGGTCCCGCACTGCGGCTCTGTGCAGAGGCCTCAAAAGCTGCTTAGAGCCTGGGTGTGGCTCTTGGCTCCATGGTAAAGCTCATGCCTAGTGTGGGCAAGCAAGCTTTGTGCAGTACGGACCGGGCTTGAGTAAGGCTGGAGAGGCGCGGGAGGCAGCACAGTCTCCATCCTCCGATGGATGGTACCTCGCAGTCAGCTCCTGAGGAGGCTGAGGCTCTGCTGCACTCATTCAGCTCCTCACTGGCCACTTCAGAGTGTTTTCCATGAGCCAGTCTTAGTGTGGGTCTCATCTCCCCATAATGCCTGTGGGTGTTGTGTACCATATGGTTCTCATCTCCCTGTAATACCTGTGTGGTACCTCATGGCCGGAACTCACAAGCCTGGCCTGTGCCTTCAGGCCAGCAGGTCTTAGCTGTGAGGTACTGGACAAGTTATTTGGTTTCTCTGGGCTTTCATCTTCTCGTCTGTAAGATGGACTAGGGCAGCGTGTTCAAAGGGGGTCTGGGGCATTGTGTGTGCTCACAGCCCTGTAGGGTAGAGAGAAATTCCATGGGTAATCTCCAGGCCTTGCATGGGGATGGTGGCAAGGGAGCAGGATGGGGAGCCACGCCCTCAAGCTTCAGGGATCAGCCCATGTGGAAGAGCCAATAGGAGCTTGAGGCTTGCAGAGGAGGTGGGGCCAGGAGAGGGGGCGTGAAGATTGGCAGGGCAAGGTGGGAAGACACCGAGTCTCCCTTCGCTGCTGCTCGCTTTACCAATGTGAGCCAGCAAGACAGCAGAAGGAGCCTCCAACATGGGAGCCCTATGGTTGACAGCACAGTCTCCTGAAGGGCAGCTCGGAACGTGTGTACCTTCTGTTTATCAGAAACCAGCCCGGGCTTCGCAATGAGCCCTCGTCTCAAAAGAAAAAAAACAAAACCCAGATAGGAATGTGTGTCAGGTCCAGCCTGCACTCCTAGGTGGGAGCAGGAGGAGGTAGATCCCCTAGGAGGCTGCCTCCCACCATCAGTCTCTGTCCTTGTGACTACAGGTGGGGTGTCGATTATGTAAACACTTGATACAGCGGTACACTTGGGACATAGAAGCAGGAGTTCAAGGTGGCTCACCAGCTAATTAGAGACTTGGAGGCTAGCCTGAGGTACATGAGACCATGTCTCTCTCTCTCTCTCTCTCTCTCTCTCTCTCTCTCTCTCTCTCTCTCTCTCTCTCTCTCTCACACACACACACACACACACACACACACACACACACACTGAAAAAGCAATCCCCTCATTGTGGAACCTGTCGGACACAACAGTGGTTATGAGGTTGATACAAGTTCAGTGATGACTCCGAAGTAAACTGTTGCGGGGGTCGGGGTGAGGAGGGGAGGGTATCTAGAAGGTTTCCTAGGCCATGTCAGCAGCAGGTCCTGAGGGATTGGAGGACCTATGTGCTGACCAGTTTTACGTCGATTTGACACAAGATGTCATCATCAGAAAGGAAGGGTCCTCGGTTGAGAAAACGCCTCCATAGGATCTGGATGCAGGCAAGCCTGTAGGGCATTTTCTTAATTAGTAATTTATGGGGAGGGTCCAGCCCATTGTGGGTGGTATCATCCATGAGCTGGTGGTCCTGGATTCTATAAGAAAGCAGTCTGGGAGCTGGGGTGGGGGTGGGGGGGGCGGGGATGGTCCATGCTTTTAATCCCAGCACTCAGGAGGCAGAGGCAGGTGAATCTCTGAGTCTCAGGCCAGCCTGGTCTACAGAGCAAGTTCTAGGACAGCCAGGGCCACACAGAGAAATCCTGTCTCAAAAAAGAGGAGAGGAGAAAGAGGAGGGGGGGATGGAAGGGAGGGAGGAAGGAAGGAAGGAAGGGAGGGAGGGAGGGAGGGAGGGAGGAAGCAGGCCGAGCAAGGTATGATAAAAATCCAGTGAGCACCACCCTCCATGGCCTCTGCATCAGCTCCTGCCTCCAGGTTCTGCCCTGCTTGGGCCCCTGCCCTGACTTCCTTCAATGATGAACAGCGATGTGGAAGAGTAGCAAAAACCCTTTCCTCCCCCACTTGTTCTGGTCCCGGTGTTTCATCCCAGCAATAGTCACCCTGACTAGGACACCCTGCCTGGCGGTGAAGGGGGTCTAGGCTAAGGGCACGGCGTGGGCTAAGGGCAATACCAGAACACACAGGGCCACTCAGGTACGACACCATCTACCCTCCAGGAGATGCCTGGAGCTCATGTCTGGAGAGGGAGGGAGGGGTGGGGAAGGAGCGGGAGTGTGGAGAGGATTGTCCCTGCCTGCAGGAGGCAGCACCCAGAGCCCTAGCGCCCCGGAGCCCAACTGGGGGCTGGAGCCGAGCTGGCCCAGTCACACCAGCACCTTCTCTTGCAGTTTGGACGCACGGAGGTCATTGATAACACGCTCAACCCAGACTTCGTGCGCAAGTTCATTGTGGATTACTTCTTCGAGGAGAAACAGAACCTGCGTTTTGACCTGTGAGTGGAAGGCGGGGCTCAGGCTGGAGCGGCCGGGGGGGGGGCTAGTGATGGTGGATAGGGTCCATGGGACCAGGGCCTGGGGTGATAGGGTACATATGGAGAAGCAGGGCATTCTGGGAGATCAGGAAGATAAAAGTGACAGGTGACAATTACCTTCAGCCTTGCTAGGGGGTGGAAAAGGGGGTGCCAGATCTTATCCAGCATTGTGTGAGTGTGTGTGTGTGTGTGAGTGTGTGTGTGTGTGTGAGAGAGAGAGAGAGAGAGAGAGAGAGAGAGAGAGAGAGAGAGAGAGAGAGAGAGAGAGAGAGAGAGGTGGGTGAAGTGCCCCTCTGGGGAGCATCCATGGAAACAATTCAAGCCTCCACCTCCTTGACTCTGGTCTCCTTGCATCCAAGGTCCCCACTGGCCTCTCTCCATGTGTGTAGTCTCCTCTCTACAGAGGTCATAGGACAAGCAGGGCTCTGGTGGTGTGTGTCCTCCAAAAAGAGGGACAGGGCCATGAGGAGGGCTTTCCCTCTCGGTGACCAGGCAGGGAGTTTGTGTCGTTTCCAGCAGCTGTGAGGGAGTAGGGTGGGGTTGCAAAGGGCAGTGTCTTGGAGAGGAATCAATAGAGTGGGAAAGAAAGGGGCTGGGCCCCCGGGGAATTCGGCAAAAGGGTGTGCCTGGGAGAGGTGGAAACTTGGGAGCTAGCCTGGGAAGGACAGAAGGGCTGAGGAGTGTGAACAAGGGTTTGCGCATGACATGACAGGGAAGTTTGGTGACAGTCCCTCTCGAGAGGCAAAGTGCTCAGTACAGTGGGTGGGGACCCCCAGCCCACAGCAGCTGTGTCCACATGAGCCCAGAGCAGGGGAGGCTGCAGCTCAGCCGGCTCCACCAGAGGGGCGCTGCCCAGCTGCAGGAGCAGCTCACAGTAAGCCACGCACGTGGCAGTAGCCACGCCCCCCGCTTAGCAGTGGCCGAGCCCGGGGAAGGAGAAAGTCGAAGAGCAGAGCTGCCAGACACGCCACACTGAGACTGGGTGGAGTGGCGGGTGGGGTGACCCAGCCACCTGTGACCCAGCCAGGATACAGGGTTCACTCGCGTCATTTTCCATTCCGAGTGAGAGAGAACACCTGTATGGGGGGTGTGTGTGCACAAATCTTTAAAAAAAGGATTCATTTGTTTGTTCGTGCTGAGTACATGTGTGTGCCGTGGCAGGGCGTGGAGGCCAAAGGACAATCTGTGGGGGTTGCCCTTCCTTCGTGTCGGTCTTGGGGCCTGAACTCAGATCACCAGGCTTGGTGGAAATGATCCCTACAGCCAAGCCATCTCCGCGGCTGGGAAACGCCTGAGAGACCCACAGGACTAATCTTCAACCTGTCTTCACTGAGATCAGGATGGCTGAGCCTCCAAGACTCCCAGTGCCCACGGTGATGGAGCTCACGGAGGATCTGACTCAGAGCTCCAGGCAGGGCTAGGTGGGGTGGTCCCCTGCCTGCCTTTACGTGTCTCTGTGTCCCCTGTAGGTACGACGTGGACTCCAAGAGCCCGGATTTATCTAAACATGTGAGTGCTGCCTGTGACTGCCCAGCAAGCCTAGGCTTTCCTAAATGCCATATTCTGGCTGCACGTTGTCACTTCAGTCGGGGAGGGGTGGCTGCCAACAGGGTGGCTCATACTAGTGTCTTCTGCCCTGGGCATGCAGGACTTTCTGGGCCAGGCCTTCTGCACCCTTGGAGAGATCGTTGGGTCTTCTGGGAGCCGCCTGGAGAAGCCTCTCACGTAAGTGTAAGAGGGGTACAGCCTGTCGGGGTGCCCCCTTGGTGATGAGCCTGCCCTGCCCAGAGCCTGCCGGTGTAAGCATCAGACAGCCAGGGCTTTCAGAGAGGGATCCCGGGCCCCGTTCTCTTGTCTCTCCGTGCTTCTCACGGGGTTGATTTGGAGGGACCCAGGCTGAGCTGTTAGAGCTTGTATCCCTGCAGGGAGGACGGGTGACTGAGAACTGTCAGTTTGCAACTCTACCTCTCTAACTGTGTAAGGAGAGGCCAGAGAACACCAGGGGAAGTGACACGCCTAAGGTCACACAGACAGCACGTGGGAACGCTGGAGTCCGAGCCTGGGCTTTCTTTGCACAGAGCACCCCTCAACTCACTCATGTGTGTAGATGCAGACCTGAGCTGGGAGCTAAGAACAGATGGAAGCTGGCGGGGCTGGGGGCGGGGCCGGGCTTCTCGCCTTCCCACCTCTCATAGTCTGCAATATCTCAAGGCGCTCTTAGGGAGAGCTGAGTGGCCTCTAGGATGGGGAGTTGGCAGGATTCCCTCCATGGAGTTGTGGATGACTTGTCATTATTCCTGAGGAAGCCCTAGGGACAGGGCCCGGGCAAGGGAAGGCACAAACTAGACAGATGTCCAGACTACAGGGCAGGCAGGAGAGAGGGGGTTCAGACTAGGCATGAGCCCCCTCACTTGCTCCTGTCCCCACACTGTAGTTCATAACTGTTGTGTATATGTGTGTGAGTGCGTGTGCATCTGTGCATATCTGTGCGTGTGTATGTGTGTAAGCGTGTGTATGCATCCGAGTATCTGTGTGTGTTTATATGTAAGAGTGTATGTGCATCTGTGTGTGTGTGTATTAGTGTGTATTTATAGGGAATAGACTCTCCTAGAGCCTTGCCTGTAACTCCTCAGTGACTAACTACATGGTAGCATCTGGACCCCAAGAAAGGTTTCTTTTTCCCCTCGAAAGTCCCATCTTTTGCAAGCAAAGGGTTCCCAGAAAATAATAATAGCTACCATTTATTGAGATGGGGGGAGATCTCAGGTTTGGAGGCTCTGGAGCTTAAAGAATTTGTGGCGTTCTTCAAAAACTATACAAGAAGATGAGGAGACATCTCCGCGGGAAAAGCACTCAGGCGCGGAGGATAGATTCCCAGCACCCACGCACGAGCGTGGCACCCTGTGGTCCCAGTCTCAGAGACACAGACTTGGCTCTTGGCTGAATTGCAAATCTCTGGGCTCAAGTGTGAGCCACAGTGCAAATTCACATTTGCCAGACAATCCCCAATACATCTTCAATTGAGTCTTTAAAAACAACAGAGCAGGGCGGTGGTGGAGCACACCTTTAATCCCAGCACTCGGGAGACAGAGGCAGGCAGATCTCTGTGAGTTCGAGGCCAGCCTGGTCTACAGAGCGAGTTCCAGGACAGGCTCCAAAGCTGCAGAGAAACCCTGTCTCCAGTGCTCCCCCAAGTAAAGTAATAAGATGAAAAATGAAAACAACAACAGTATGGAGGGGGAGACGGTTCAGCGGTTAGGAGCACTTGCTGCTCTAGCAGAGGACCCGAGTTTGCCTCCCAGACCCGCATCAGGCAGCTCACAGGCACCTGTCACTCCAGCTCCAGAAAATCCAAAATTCTCTTCTAGACTCCAGGCACCCTCACACACACACACATGTAAATAAAAATAAGACCAATCTTAACCAATTTAGATCTCATATGTCCTCAGAAGTTGGAAAGTAGTAGGAACACAGTCACTTTTTATTTCATTCATTTAGATTTCTCACAAAACAACAAAGATTTAATTTAGGACTTTTTTTGTATTGATTTTTGAGACAGGTCTTTCTACGTAGCAGTAGCTTGTCTGGACTCATTATACGGACAAGGCTGAATAAGAGATTTAAAGAGGCCCAACATTTTTGTCCAGTTCACAAGCCTGGCTGGGGAGACGGCTCAGCAGTTAGGAACACTGGCTGCTCTTCCCGAGGACCTGGGTTCAATGTCCAGCACACACATGACAGCTCACAATTTCTGTAACTCCAGTTCCAGGGAATATGGTGCCCCCACACAGATATACATGCAGGGAGAACACCAATGTATGTAAAAATAAATCTTGAAAAATTGAAAAAAAAAGAGAACATATTGCAGCCTGGTGTGGTGATACATACATAGCTTTATCCAGCACCACATAAGGTGACTTGTAACCACCTGCAACTCCAACTCCAAGGGACTGGATACCTCTGGCCTCATGTGCACACACCCCAGACACACACATCCACATGCAGACACACACACACCCATACATACATCCACACACACATGCAGACACACACACATACACATGCAGACACACACATACACATACATTCAGACACACACATACACACACATGCAGACACACACACATTCAGACACATACACACACACACACAGTTAAAAATAGTAAAAACAAATTTAAAGGGGAAAGAAAGGAAAGTGGGGTTTTCCCAGGAGATATCACAATTAGCTCTTTTTCAATAGCAGTGTCCAGGGCCTATCATTCAATTTTATATATTTTAAATTTATCCTTGCTTTGACAGTCTCACACGTGCATAGAATGTGTTTCGATCATCTTCGTTCCCGATTGCCCTCTCTCGTTGCCCTCCTACTCTGGCGAGGACGCCCAGCTCCTACCTGAGTCCAAACCTAGCCAGTTACAGGTCCATCTCCTGTCACCTTGGGTGGGGGTGGGGGCCCTTCCCACAGAAGATGAGCCCAAAGACGCGCAAGATCTGAAACGTGGCATCACAGGATGCTGTGGAGGAGGCAGGGCCTTCCCCCCAGAAGGTCCTATGTGTCTAAGTTTAGCCGCTCATGACTAAACCCCGGCAGCAGCTCCTGTTTACTGGGCATCTATTCTGGGACAGATGTGCGGGTCAGTGCTTTGCTGGCGAAATCTATGCAGGGGTCCCTGAATGTTCTACCACGTAATACACTCCATCTACTAAATACTTTTTAAAAAGGCCGCACATCCCTGAGCATCTGTCCTCCTGGTCACTGCTCCCTGGACGATACAGTACAGCCAGCCTACGCCGGGCATCTACTCTGTGTCAGGTATCATAAATCATCTAAGGATGACTTAAAACATAAGTGATGCCAGGCGTGGTGGTGCGTGCATGTAACACAGCCCTTGAGAAACAGAGGCAGGAGGAGTTCAAGGCCATCCTCAACTACGTAGGTTGGAGGGCAACCCCAGCTACCGGAGACCCTGTTTTACTGTTTACTTACAATAGTAGAATAAAACGTGTGGGAGAATGTGTGGCTCATGGTCTAATAATACTGTGGTGGCCCTTTAAGAGACTTGCTCGTCCAGGAGCTCTGCTGTCCCAGAGGGGGCTGAGAACCAGTTTCTTGTGCCTTTGAACCGATGACAGCATTGGTTTGGGCTCGTGTTTGAGGGTAAAGGAGAATGTGGTTTTGCGAGTCCCACTACGGGGTAGCCTCGAACTCAGGACCCTTCTGCCTCAGCCTCGTGAGTACAGGGATTGCACGTGTGCACGGCCACACATTTCCTTTGGGTTTTTGAGTCAGGGCCCCAGGGCCTTCGTCTATATCCCGGGAAGGACTCAACAGGTCCTTCTGCCCCATCTCAGCCTCTCAAATGCTAGAATTGTGAGCGTGTGCCACTATGCCCCGTCCAAGGGGCTGACCGAGTTCATTTCTGCTAAGGCCGCTCCCCTTGGCTTGGGATGATTGTGGCTTTTCCTCTCCTGTCTTCATGGATTCACCCTTCTGTGTGTGTCAGACTCCACCCATGTGACCTCAGTTCCTTACCAACTCTTTTTTCTTAAATTTAAAAAAAAATGATTTTCAAAGCCGGGCGGTGGTGGCACACGCCTTTAATCCCAGCACTCGGGAGGCAGAGGCAGGCGGATCTCTGTGAGTTCGAGGCCGGGCTGGACAGACAGCCTCGAAAACAATACAGAGAAACCCTGTCTTGTAAAACCAAAAAAAAAAATGATTTTCATATAAGTGTGTATTTGTGTGTGGGTATGTGCACTTGAGGGTAGGTTCCCTCACAGTCCAGAAGAGGGCGTCAAATTCCCAGAACTGACTGTGAGCCTCCTGTTGTGGGTACTGGGAACCAAACTTGGTTCCTCTGGAAGAGCAGTCCTCGCTCCTAAGTGCTGAGCCATTTCTCCAGCCCCTTTAAGCGTCCTGTCTCCGAATATAGTCCTGTGAGGTGCTGGGGTTTGGGCTGCCGGCATGCGAATGGGGAGGGAAAGCTAAGCCACTGAGGCCTGGTCATGTGACACAGCCCGTCTCCACCTGCAGCAGATGTCCAGGTCACCTGGAGCAGAGGCTGGGCTCCACCTCAGGGCTTCTGAGTAGGCCTGGGGCATGTTTGTGATACCTTCCCAGGGGCTTCTGGTCTGGGGGGCCCCACCCTGAACACCTCAGGGGTAACATGACTTCCCCAGGACTTCACCCTAAGGTCTGGGAAGTGTTCCTTCTGTGGTCTGGGCTTTTGGTCCTGTTTTAATGACTTCCAGGACAGAAACCTGGCTCCAGGCATTACAGGTCTGGTGTTCTGGCCCATGAAGATGCTTGTCACTCATGCTTGGCTTTCTCCTCCTCTGTCTCCACAGGATAGGAGCTTTCAGCCTCAACTCCCGGACAGGCAAACCTATGCCAGCTGTGTCTAACGGGTAGGTCACCACACAGCTGTGGCCCTCATGTCCCTCTGCATTCAGCCAGCTCTCCAGAGGCCACCTGCCTCTGGGCCCAGTTCCTGATCTACTGAATCCCTGGGTGGGGAGACAAAGGGCCCCAGATCCCTCCTAAGGTCTCAGGCACCGAGATGACAGCCTGACCTCAGAGCTGGAGCCCCCTGAGCTTGGTGGCTCTTGGGACTTTAAGGAGTAGGGGGGGTTCAGGAGGATGAAATATGCCCAGGGTGGATAGGCCTGGGACCTCCCAGTTCCCTCTCTCCCTCCCAGCTCTGTCCGAGTCCCTCTTCCCTCCCTTTTCCTCATCTATTTCCCCCCAACCTGGCTGACCCTCCTCCATGATTTCTCTGTTAAATATCAGCCTTCTTCTTCCCATGGGGTTGATGCGGCTCAAACACCCCCCATACACACACACTGCCTCCCAAACACACACACTGTTACACACACACTCACACATACTGCTTCCCAAACACACACACTGTTACACACACACACTGCCTCCCAAACACACACACTGTTACACACACACACTGCCTCCCAAACACACACACTGTTACACACACACTGCCTCCCAAACACACACACTGTTACACACACACTGCCTCCCAAACACACACACTGTTACACACACACACACTGTTACACACACACTGCCTCCCAAACACACACACTGTTACACACACACACTGCTTCCCAAACACACACACTGTTACACACACACACTGCCTCCCAAACACACACAGTTACACACACTGCCTCCCAAACACACACACTGTTACACACACACTGCCTCCCAAACACACACACTGTTACACACACACACACTGTTACACACACACTGCCTCCCAAACACACACACTGTTACACACACACTGCTTCCCAAACACACACACTGTTACACACACACACTGCTTCCCAAACACACACACTGTTACACACACTCACTGCCTCCCAAACACACACACACACTGCTTCCCAAACACACACACTGTTACACACACACACTCACTGCTTCCCAAACACCCACACTGTTACACACACACACTGCTTCCCAAACACACACACTGTTACACACACACACACTCACTGCTTCCCAAACACACACACTGTTACACACACACACTCACTGCTTCCCAAACACCCACACTGTTACACACATACATTCACTGCTTCCCAAACACACACACTGTTACACACACTCACTGCTTCCCAAACACACACATTGTTACACACACACTGCTTCTCCCCCAAATACACTGTTACACACACACTGCTTCCCCCCAGTTACACACACTCACACACACATGCTGTTACACACACACTCACATACACACTGCTTCCCCCAAACACACTGTTACACACACACTCACACACACAGACACACACACACTGCTTCCACAGCTCTCCGGCTGCAGGGGGCCGTCTACCTCTCCAGCTCCCACTCAGACTCCATGCTTTTGACTGGCCTCATGGCCAACATAGACATGGCCCTTTGTGGCTTCCCCTGTCCCTCCCTGAGGAGAGCCTGCATCCTGGTTTCTCTCTCATGCTGTGTGGACCTAAGGGCCTTTGGGGCTGAGTGAGGGAGTCCCACCCAACCTCCTGCACATGAGGCAGCAAGAGCCTGGAGAGGCCTGTGTGGACCCCTCACAGCTCGGGACCAGTGTGGCTTCTGGCTCGTGAGGATCGTGGATAGCCAGTGAGCTGCCAGGGGGTGTGAGCGGATGTGAGAGAGAGGTAAAGTCCAGAGGGAGAGAGGGAGGGAGAGGAAGGCCAGGCTGGTGGCAGCAGGTTGAGGCAAGAGAGGAGGAAAAGCAGAATCAGAAGGAGGAGCCCAAGGCAGAAAGCAGATGGAGACGGGCGGAGGAGGCGCGGCTGAGGACTTTCTGGTCTCCACCAGGCCAGGGTGTGCAGGAGGCTGCGGAGAGCAGGGACTGCCAAGAGAGAGCAGGGGCTGCCAAGAGCAGGGGCTGCTGAGAGCAGGGGCTGCCGAGAGAGAGCAGGGGACAAGTTGCTCCACTGCTACCTGCCCGGGGCAGGTATGGCCCCCACTCTGCTCATCCAGTTTGGAGAAACTGGGCTGTGTCTTCAGCCCCAGGGTCCTTCTCTGCTGGGAACGTCTCCCTCCCTCTCCTCTTGCTCCAAACGAATGCTGGGGAAGGCGCCACCAGTGATTCTCAAAGGGTCCCACGCACAGCACAGCACGCCGCTGCCCTGGGCTGGGCAGGAGATGGGATCTGGGTCCCCAGCGCCCCACCACAGTGCAGCAGGCCTCAGGGAGGGAAACTGTGTCCATCTAGGGCCTTCTGGGCAACTTGCGCCGTGTGCGTACCAGGAAAACAGATCCCGGGTCACCCTCATGTGTGTGCAGGGGCAGAACCCTAGTCACAGCTGCCCAACAGTCTCACATTTGACTCTCCCTGTCAGTGACCCTATGATCCCCCAACTTAGTCTCAAACCTTAGAGTGGCATGGGCTAGTCCTTGGGGGCGTGCTCCTCGCCCCCCCACCCCCCCTGACTCCCACCGACAAGAGGCAGAGGTGGTGGAGCAGCCTGAGTGGAATCCTCTCTGACTTTCCTCTCTGCTGCAGACAGTCCCCTCCCCTAGCCCACCCTCGGGCTGTTCCTCCCTAGTGACGTGGACTGGCTCAGAGCTGGGACACCAGGGGACCCTGGGTAGCTGGGTACAGGGTGGCTAAGCCCACAAGGTCTTTTGCCCACAGAAGTGGTCTTTGGATGGAAAGCTTCAGAACCACTGACCTGGAAGCTTCCGGGTGAGTCTGGGTGCTGTTGCCATTCTGAGACCTGCCTGGTGGGCCTTGGGAGCAGGGGGCGGGCCACCCAGGCTGAGGGTGTGGCCCCAGCACACAGCGCTCAGCCACACCGCCCAGGCACTCTGGGAACTTTCTCGGGGGTGTTGGGGTAGGTGCTTGGATGCCACAGGGCGGGCGTGGGAGCGGCTGACCCAGCCCCTGTCTGTCTTGTCACTTTTGTCTCCTCTCCCTCAGTGGTGTCCCAGGGAAGAAGTGTGGCTCCATCATCCTGTCTGCAGAGGAGCTGAGCAACTGCAGGGTGAGTGGCAGGGGCTGCCTCCCCGTGGCCCAGGGTCACCCATCCCTGCAGGGAGCCCAGGGTAGACAGGGCTCCTTGTTACGTGGCTGGCATGAGACTAGAAGATTCCATCCTTATGGCTGGGCAGAGCGAGACCCAAGGCAGGACGAACAAGCCTGCACCACAGAGCCAGGCTCCTTCCGGGCCTGACCTCAGGCCCCTCAGGCCCCTCAGCCCAGACCACACCAACAACAGTACTAATGACCAAAGCCTTTCCGGCCTTGGGCACTCGACACTGGGTTATAGCTTTCCACTTTGTCTCTGGCGTAGGATGACACCCTCTGTGGAGCAGAGAGAGAGAGAGAGAAACGTGTATGTGTGTGGGCGGAATGAGTGTGAGTGCGTGTGCATGGGTGGGCGTGAGTGTGAGCAGGTGTGAATGTGAATCTGAATCCGGATAGAGTGGGCGTGGCCGTTGGGAAGCCAAGCGTCTGCAATCCCGACAGCCTTTGATCTTTGACTCTTCTGTAGGACTGCGGGAGAAGCAGGCATGACACCAAGAAAGGGGACAGGGCTCTAGTGGCTGGTGACAAGGGGGACAAAGGGAAGATGGGAGCTGGCCATTTGTCAAGGGATGGGCGCTGTCCCAGTTCACTCTGGGTCTCTGGAATTAATAAACACCATGACCAGGAGTGGCTTGGGGAGCAAACGGTTTATGCCACTTGACAGTCCCAGGTGACAGTCCATTGTTGTGGGAACTCAAGGAGAGCTTGCCTGAAGCAGGAACCGTGGAGGGGCGCTGCTTCCTGGCTTCTCTGAGGGTCATGGTCAACACCCTTTCTTATCTATCCCAGACTCACCTGCCTAGGGATGGCACCACCCAGTGGTCTGGGCCCTCCTACATCAATTAACCATCAAGAAAAACGCCTCAGCTGAAGAGATGGCTCAGTGGTGGAAAGTGTATTGTTCTTGCGCTGGATCTGAGTTCTATTCCCAGGGCCAGGGTCAAGCAGCTCACAACTGCCTGTAACTACAGCTCCAGGGGGGCACCAAATGTGTTTGGCCTTCCCGGTGCCTGCATTCCTGTGCACACACCCATACTCATGGTTAAATATAATAATATTAAATCTTTAAAAAAAGCAAAAAGAAAATGCCTCTCAGAATAGCCATGGACCAACCTGAGGGATGATCAGTCTGGCTTCCCTCCTCCCTGGCGACTGTGGGCTTGGGTAAAGTTGACGGTCCAAGCTGACGATAACAGGCACTGACATTGGTCCTAAGACGTGAGATGAAAATCTTGCTTGTGGGTGGGGGAAGGACTTGAGTGAGATTCCCATTTCACCAGAAACTACAGCGGCTCTCAGGAAAAGAGAATACAGACCTGGGCTCTACTCCAGGTCAGGCTGACTGTAAGATCGGAGCCCTGTCCCCAAGGCCACCCAAACCAGACATCCCTGAGGTCAGTGAGGAACCCCTCATGAGGCAGGGTTGGGGGGCAGGGCGGAGTTTGAGTGACAACCCAAGGCCAAGCCTGGGCATCTGGGCCCAGGGCTCCCCGGGGGCTGTAGGAAGGAGGAGACAGGAGACTTCTGACCTGCCTAGATCAGAGCAGTCTCTCACCAGTATCCACCATGTCAGAAACTATGACAGAGCAAGCGTGAGGTCATACATCAATTCCTTTCAGAATAATAATAGCAGAACACATTAAAAAGCAACATAGTAGCCAGGTGTGGCGGCTCACACCTTTAACCCCAGCACCTGGGAGGCAGAGGCAGATTGGTCTCTGAATTTGAGGCCTGGTTTACATAACGAGTTCCAGGACAGCCAGGGATACACAGAGGAACCCCATCTTAAAAAAAACAAGCCAAGAGTCGACATGGGAGACTGGAGAGGTGGCATAAGGGTAAGGAACACAGGCCGCTCTAGCGGAAGACCCAGGTTTGACTCTTAGCACCCATACTAAGGCTCATACATATAACTATCTATAGCCTCTAGAGGAGCCAGCACCCTCTTCTAGCTTCTGAGGGATCAGCCATGCGTATGGTGTACAGACATAAGTGCAGCAACACTTACATACATAACACACACACACACACATATATGTAAGAATCTACATAGGGTTTGGGGGTCCCAGCCTGCAGAGTGCTTACTTAGCAAGTATGAAGCTCTGGGTTTCACCCCCAATACCAAACAAGCCAAGCATGGAGGTGCAGGCCTGTAATACCATCACTCAGATGGTAGCAGCAGGAGGATCCAAAGTTCAAGGTGACCCTCAGCTGCACAGTGAGTGCAAGGCCAGCCAGAACTACAAGAGACTGTTCCGTTAGAGAGAGTATCTGTGTTAACATTAAATAACATTTTCCAAAAACGAGTATTTTGGGCGAGAAGTGTGGCTTTGTAAATCTAATGTCTGAGGTCCTAGAAGATACCAGAAGGGACTGAGTTAAATCTCAGCTTCAGAGTGCTTGCCCTCTGTGGCAGAAGGCAGAGTATCCATCCCTTGAATGGGCCACAGCGGGGTGGTCAACTGGATGGTCACATCTGTGTAGCTAGTGTGCTGTTTAACGAGGCCTGTGGAATGGTTCTAGGCCAGGCCACACAAATGGCTCATTGTAGACTTGTTTACATGTCTTTTTTTTTTTTGTGGTTTTTCGAGACAGGGTTTCTCTGTAGCTTTGGAGGCTGTTCTGGAACTCACTTTTTAGACCAGGCTGGCCTCGAACTCACCACCTGCCTCTGCCTCTCGAGTGCTGGGATTAAAGGCGTGCGCCACCACCGGTCAGCGAGGCCCACAATTTCTATGAGGAGACCGAAGCGTGGAAAGATGAAGCCCAAGGCCCCACAGTCACCCAGTAGAAGAGGTTTGGACCTAGGCAGCCTGCCCTAGAGCCCCAGTGATTAGTCAGCAGGACGTGGGGTCACCGCCCTGCCTTTGGGGACTTCTGTGTGGAAACAGAATTGACTGTAAGGAGGTGACCGGAGGAATGCTGGTACAACTGCTTTCCTGGCAGCGCCCTCCCTGTCTTTAGCTGAGTGGAGGACTGGACACCCACAGGGAATCAGGCTCGCCCAGCGTCCAGCATGTGCACCCTGGGCAGGGCTGGCTGCTGTGACTGTTGTGCACCGAGGATCTGTCTGATAAGAGCCTGGCAGGGGCAAGCCCAGCAGAGTGCTTAATGACAACAGACACTGTGTCAGCTGAGGGTCTGGCTGCCTAGAACCAGGGCACGTTCTTCTGTTTCTGCGCACAGAGCCTCGAGGTCCCCCTGCTGTGGGCCAGTTGGCTTAACCGACTAGGATGAAGGTGATGAGGATGGCGACTGCCTAATAGGTGCTCAGGAGAGGCTGTGTGGAAATTTCTTGATGGTTCCCCTGAGCTCTGAGCCCAGCAGTGACCTCCTCCTCCTCCTTGGTGTATCTTTAAATAACATCAGCTCGGGCGCTTTGGACATTCTAAGCCTAGGTGGGCTGGTGCTGTTAATTGGTTTCCAGCAGCTTATAAACATCTTCCTTTACCACCTTAGACCCCTCCTCCCTCTCTTCCTCTTTCCCTGCCCCCTCCCCATTTCATCCTTGGACATGGTAGTTTCCTTGCTGGAGGCCCACACTGGGGAGATCTGGGGGCTCCCTCTTTCCCTCCCTCCCTTCCTCCTCCAGAGGCTTGTCGGCTCCCTTCTCTCCTGGCACATCTTTGGCTGAATCCTCTCTTTCCCTAGAATCCCTGCAAGGGAAAGAAGCTAATTCTCAGCATCTGGCTGAATTAAAATAATTACATGTGAGCAGCTTTGCAACTCCGGCTTTTCGGTGGGAGGATCAAAGGGAGAGGGTGGGTGTGGGTCTGCAAGGCGTGGGGCTTCCGGCCTTCAAGTGGAGCCTGTGTGGGCGGCCAGGGACAGCAAGGGATGGAGTGGATGCCAGCCTGTCACAGGCTTACTTTAGTAAGTAAAAGAAAAGCCTTGCTCATGTAGAATATTAATGCCAAGAAGGTTCCTACAGTCAGGCTTGATGCGAATACAGTCGGGGTCCTTAGGTTGGCAGGGCGAGGGTCGGATCCCTAGTCACCCACATTTCCCCATGCCTGGTGGGGAGACTGATGTTTTCCTGCAAGGGCCTCAACTCCCTGAGGCTCTTCTTAACAGACACACCTTATGCTGGAGATTGAACCCAGGACCTTGCTCTGGGTGGGCAAGCAATCCACCACTGGGCCACATCACAGCCCTCTTTATTTAAAAAAGAGAAAAGAAAAGAAAAGAAAAGAAAAGAAAAGAAAAGAAAAGAAAAGGGTCAGGTGTGGTGGTTGGCGCACGCCTTTAATTCCAGCACCTGGGAGGCAGAGGCCAGCCGATCTCTGAGTTCCAGGCCAGCCGAGGCTACATGGTGAGACCCTGTCTCAACCAGAATAGGCAAGGGACAATTTCTCATAACTTGGAATGGTAGTCCTGTAGGTTCTGTGGGCTTATAGCCATCAGGGGAGAAAGCCAACTTTGAACATTGGAAGTGGAATTTGGAGACACGGGTACCGGCTGCACCTGTGCCGTGGCAGGCCTGGACTTCCTCGGCTTTTCTGGTTGGTTAGATTACCATGATTGGCACCCATCCTCCAGGCTCCTGATGGGGGGCTGGGGAAACCCAAGCTTCCTACTGCAGCATCCTGGGGTCCCTCCCACCCGTGAACCGTTTCTAGACTGCTCAGGAATTCATTTGTTTCAAGTCAGCAAGTGTCTCGCTCGCTCTGCCCGCTGTCCCCCAGAGTTCTAATTTAGTGTGAGAAACGCCAACCGGCAGTCCCTGCCTCTGCTCTGGCTCTCTCTACCCTGTCAGACCTGTCGCCTCTTCCTATCACATATGCTTCACTACATTCTTGATCCTTGAGGGAAACGGGTGAGCGTTTTATTATGTGCCCATGTGGGAAAGCAGGTAGGAGAGTAAGTTCTTGCAGCCAGTTCCCTGGGAGGCAGGCAAAGGCCCGGAGTCAGGAGATGAGGGGTCAGGCAGGCTGTAGGTGGGGATGGTGGCGGGAG